CAGCCGCAGGCACCAGTCCCACCCCCTCGCGCCGACGAGGTGGGGCTGGACCGGAAATAGCGTCACGGATGAGCGCCGGGAAGGCGCGGCGGCCATCTTGAGTGTGGGCGGGCGGGGTGACCGAGCCGGCCCCAACCCCCCTTCTGTCGCGATATCCCCTGCCGTGACAGGCGACGACATCACCCTCACGGCCGGGAGCACTGCCCCAGCGGTAGGGGTCCTCAGTGCCCGGGGACCCGAGTGCTGTCTGATCCCGGTGTGGAGGGATCCCGATGCCGGGGAAATCCCGGTGCCGGGGAAATCCCAGTGCCGAGAGATCCCTGCGCTGAGGGATCCCAGTGCTGGGGGAATCCCAGTGCTGGGGGAATCCCAGTGCTGGGAGGTCCAGGTGCCAGGAGATCCCAGTGTGGAGGAATCCCAGTGCCAGGTAAGGATCCCAGCGCTGGCAGATCCCAGTACCAGGGGAATGCCAGTGCCGGGGGGACCCCCATGTCCGCAGACCCCCACTTCAGCCTCACGTGCCGGGCGTCCCCCATCCCGGCCCCCTGCCCAGTTCCCCCCTCGCGGCCACGCGGCGTCACCTGCAAAACTTCGCTTTAATTGTCTTAAAAATACAGACCTCGTGGAAAAGGAGCTGGCCAACTGCCCCCAGCAGGGCGAGGATCCCACCTGCCTCCGCCAGCCCCCCGGGAGGAGGACTGGGGGGGCCGCCCGTGGCTCCCCAATCTCCCACCTCATCCCCATTCCCGTCCCCCCTCCATCCCGAGGCATTTCAGGGCACTGGAGCGGGTCCCTCATGCCATCCCACGGCGGCAGAGATGGGAGTGCGGATGTCGGCCTCACCACGGCCACAGCCGAGCCCTGCGGTGGGCCCAGGGCGCTGCAGGAGCCGGGATCCAGCTGTCCCCATCCTCCTCGGGGACCCGCGTTACAGCCCCAGAGCCGAGGGCCGGACTCCCTGCAAAGCACTGGGGGCTCCCACACCATCAGTGGGATTAAACCCCCCCAGTAATGCCGAGCGGTGGGGCCTGATCCTGCTCACCTGGGCTGGATGGGACCATCCCAGCCCTGAGCTCCTCAAAGCTTCTGTGGAGGTAGCAAGAATTTAATGAAAAACCAAGAAACTGCCAGGCACGGCGAGAGTCGGGGGCACCTTTGGGACCCCCCCTGCTCTGCCTCCTCCAGCCCAGGCACCAGCAGCTGAGTGGCACCGCAGGATCTGGCCCCAAAAAGCCCTGCGCCCTGGTGGGGAGCAGGAGCGCAGCAGCGGGGAACCGCTCAAAGGCAATGGCAGAAGGCGCAGGGCAGTTTTTGGGGGTGGGTGTCCCCAAAATCTGTGCGGCTGGAGGGAGCCCCGGGGGTGGGACACCCCAGAGCCCTGCCGAGGGACGGGGCTGTCCCAGCAGCCGTGTGTCCCCACAGAGGGGGAGGATCCCATCCCCAGGACCCTCACTGGGAGGGTGCGAGGGCGCTGCCAGCGGCCTCAGTGCAGGATCCCGCTGGCTGCCAGGCGCTGAGCCGGTCCTGCAGCAACGTCAGCTCCTCGGCCAGGCCGGCCGGAGATGGGGCGAAGCGCCCATGCTGCGGGGAGAGGTGGTGTCCGGCCGGGGGTGATGTGTACAGGGTCAGGGGGGACATGGTCAGGGGTGGGATGGACGGGCACGGGGTCAGAATGGATGGACACAGGGTGGGATAGATGGATACAGAGTTGGATGGATGGACACAGGTCAGGATGAATGGACATGGGGTCAGGATGCACGGACATGGGGTCGGGATGGACAGATGGATATGGGGTCGGGATGGATGGACACGGGTCAGGATGGATGGACACGGGTCGGGATGGATGGACACAAGAGGGCATGGATAGACACGGGGTCAGGACAGCCACGCACAGACCACCCACACCAGCCTCAACCCACGTCCCCAGCTGCAGGACACAGCCGGGGAAAAAGAAATCCCCTCCGAACCGGGAACCCTTCGGGTCTGGGCCCACCTGGGACCCCCACCATGGTGCAGCCCCGCTGTGCTTCAGTTTCCCCTGACTTCACCGGACAGACCCCATCAGGGAGACCCCAAGCCCCGGTGCCGGCGTTACCTGTGCCTCAGGCAGACCCCGCAGGTAGCAGCGCTGCCAGAGCCGGACGGAAGGTCCTGCAGCGCAGGGCAGCAGCAGCCCCGGGGGGGGGGCAGGGGGCCGGTTACCCCCCGGGCTGCCCCCCCACTCGCCAAGGCTCTCTAGGGAGGGGGCCCAGCGGGACAGGCGTTGGGGGGGACGGCCGCTCCTCCAGGGAAAGGGTTGGGGTGACAACATCCCCTTGGTCAGCACGAAGACATTGCCGGCCCCTGGCCCTGGCCAGGCATCAGTGGGCTGGGAAATGGTGGGGGGAAAAATAGGAATTAGGGAAAAAGGGGGGGAAGAGCCAGCAGGAGGGGAAAACCCCACAGTTAGGGATGGGGCACGATTTTTGGGGGGCACACAGCACCAGGAAGGGATTTAACATGCAGAGCACCCCAAATTGAACAGGTGAGCAGGCAGGTGGGTCTCATACAGCACAACCTGGACGCCTGGCTCCCTTCCCAGCAGTGCAGCCCCCCTGCCAAAGCCAAGCCCCGACTCACCCTGCTTGGGGTCTGGGGGTCTGCAGCGTTGGGAGGTCCTACAGTGCCAGCAGCACCCGCTGGGTTCCTGAATCGGGCCCGCTGGTGCCGGCTGTAGCGCAGCCCCCAGTCCCAGACAGTGGGCAGCCTGCAGGCAGGGCTGCCTGTCCTGCCCACCTGCGGCGCACCTGGCTGGGGGTCCCGCCAACCGTTCACCGGTGTATAGGTCTGGCTACGAGGCCGGTGCTGCCGGGAGGAGAAGGGATGAAACAGGAGCTTTTGGGGGGGCGTCAATCTCCAATTGGGGATATGGATGGGGAAACTGAGGCATGGCGCAGGTGGATGCAGCCAAGCGGGATGGGAGAGGATTCATCTCTGTCCCCAAATCCGTCCCTAAACCCCGCTTGCTGGCAAGGGACCCAGGAGTGTGTGCCCCCCGCCTCCAAGCTCACCGGGCTGCCTCGTCCCTGCTGCCGCTGGCAGCTGAAGAGGAAGGTGCTGAAGTAAGGGGCGAAGCTGCTGTCGTGGAGGGCGAGGAGATAGGCCTCAGTAAAGCCAAAAGCCGCTGGGAATTGCCGCACTAGCTGCCACGTGCAGTCCAGGAACAGCAGGAAAACGGGAGCCTGGGGTGGGAGGAGACGCGTGCCTGTCACCCACTGAGGACGCGGACAGGGTAGTGGCGGCACGGGGTGGGTTCTCACCTCCTCCCGGGGGCTGTCGCGACGGAGGAGCCCCAGTCGGTGGGGAAAGGGGTGTCCAGCTGCCACCCATTCCCGCTGCACCAGGCTCTGGAAGCCGGGCAGGGTGCGGGTATGGGGGTCCCCTAGGAGCTGCACCAGCGAGGCCAGCAGGCAGTTTAGGTCCCGGTCTGATGGCTCTGGGAGGGGGAATGAGGCATTGAGGGGGTGTCCCCAGTGTGTCACCACCCCACCCCCCCAAAACATACCCCCCTGCTTCTCCCCTCCTGGTGCTACCTTGCAGGAGGACGGAGCAGCGTCTCCCCGCCAGCAGCGATGCCACCTCAACAGCTTTTCTCAAGCAGGTGCTGGGGGCAAAAGGTGGGAGCGGGGTCAGGGCACCCCAAAATGCCACAGTCACCTGCCTGGGGGTCTGCAGCCCACCCTGGGATGCTCATGATGGTGGTGGGGGGATGACCATATGCCTGCTGCAACACCCCCATCACCAAGGCAGGCCATGGTGGGGACCCACCCCCCATAACAGGTAGTTTTAGGGTGAGGTTTTCCTCCACCACCCCGCACCCCAAAAAAAGCCCCCCCCCCAGCACCGCCCACTCACCGGACATGGTCCAGCCAGCGTGTCCCCTCCAAGGCTGAGAGCCACTTCTCTTCCGCTGCCGCACCTGGCTCACATGGGCAAAGGATGGGGACGGTCAGTGGAGAAGGACCCCGGGGGTGGGACTGGGGGGTCCCCCCCGGATCCCCCCCCCCCATCCCAGTCCCTGCTCACCGGGCAGGCAGAGCGCCCGCAGCTTGAGGTGGGCGACCTGGATGTCGGCGAGGGTGGGCAGCTCGGCAGTGTCGGCCAGCACACAAGGCCCACGGCCCCCCAGCAGCAGAGCCTCCAGGCACCTGGGTGGGGGGCAGAGGGACCCCCGGGTGGGGCTGGGTTGGGGAAACCCCCCCAGCCCCCCCCCCAGGAGCCCCAGCAGGACTCACCTCACATCCTCACTGCCTGGCTCAGAGGCTGCGTGGAAGCTGGCAGCTCTCAGCAGGTCTCCGCCGCCTGGGTGGTGCCAGCACAGGCGCTGCGGGCAAGACAGGGTGACACCCCCACACACATCACCCCCCCATCCCCTATTCCCCCCCACCCCCCAGCACCCCAGCAGCCTCCCAGGGCACTCACAGGCACCCGGCGCTCCTCAAAGTGGGCGAAGGTCCGCTTGAGGTCGTGGTCCAGGAGCCCGCTGGGCACCCACAGGGTCCGGGGGGGGCTGGGGGGGGGGGGGGGCATGGGGCAGGTGCCCCCTCCCCAGTACCCCCCAAATCCCAGGGTGCCATTTTGAGTGGCTCACAGGATGTTTTCCCAAACGGAGGGGAGGCTTTTCTCCCCCATCCCTTCACCACCCTCCCTGGTCCCCTCGGGGTGGGGGTGGTTCATGCTGTGCTCCCCCCCAGTATGGGGTGCTGGGGGGCCCATGGACCCCAGTGTCCATCTGGGCCATACCTGGGGGCCATGTCGAAGCGCTCGTTGACGGCGCTCACCCTCCAGCCCACGGCACCCAGGCGCTTCAGCTCCTTTTCCCAGTCACGCAGGCTCTCAAAGAGCAGCGTGGCAGCCGAGCCTTCCTCCTCATCCTCATCCTCCAAAGGGGCTTCAGCTGGGCAGCACCAGCCATCGTGTCCCTCGCCAGTGTCCCCCAGCCATGCGGCTGCCTCCCGCGCTTGGGCGATGGCATTGGCGACCTGCAGAGAGGAGCCAGGACCGGGCATGAGCCCCCCCTGCAAGTCCCCCCCCCAAAGCCATGGAGCACCTCAGAACTGGGTACAAAGCCTCCCTGTGTCCCCCGTAACTGCCAGCCCCACCAGCTCACCCGAAACGCCTGCAGAGCCAACCCGTTCTCCTGGAAGTGGAAGCGGAGCAGGCGGAAATCCCGGCAGAAAACAGCCAACTCCTCAGGGATGAACTTGAGGGTGGAGGCGGCCGTCAGCACCTTGGGTTTGGTGAAGCTGCTGGCTGTGGCAGGCGTTGAGGGGGTGGCCATCAGCACTGGCTGAGACCTGCCCAACTCATCACACAGGGGCTCGGGGTTGTCACTTTTACCTGCCACCAGCTTGCGGATGCAGGGCAGCGCCACGTCGTAGTCGCTGTGGAGGAAGGCACGGGAGCCGGGAGCCTGTGGGAGATGGGCAGAGAGCTGGAAGCTGCCCCCAGCGTGTGTGTCCCCCCCCAGCCCTGGGAAAGGCAGTGGGGCTGGATCTGGGACCCCACTGCCTTTGCCCGGCTGGCGCTGGGCCCCCATGGCTGCACCTTGTCCCCCACCGCGTCCTGCAGTGAGGAGTTCCCCGGGTGAATGCAGGGAGTCCGCAGCTGATGAGCAAGAGCGAGGCTGGGATGGGGCTGGAGCTGCGATGGGTCTGGGATGGGGTCAGGATAGCGCCAGGATGCAGCCGCAATGGGGTTAGGTTGCAGCCGGGATGGGGCTGGGATGGGGATGGAGCTGGGATGGGATTAGGATGCAGCTGGGATGGGGATGGAGCTGGGATGGGGTCAGGATGGAGCTGGGATGGGCTGGGGTCGGGATGGGGCTTGGCTGGGATGGAGTCGGGATGAGGATAGGATGGGGTCAGGATGGGGCTGGGCCGGGGCCGGGATGCAGCCGCAGTGGGATTAGGATGCAGCCGGGCTGGGGCTGGGGCCGGAGCGGG